TACAGCACACAGCTCGGGGATCAAACAGGTTCCAGTCCTGGCTCTGCTTCTTAGCGATCTGTAGCCCTGGGTAAGTTGCTTGATCTCTCTGACCCTCAGTTTCTTCATCTGGGTAAAGGGGTGATCAAAACAAGTTCTCAGAGCTGTTGTAGGAAGATAATGCTAAGGCCTTACAGCACATGGTCTAGCCAGTGGGATAAAGATGTATTGGGCATGCGTCAGTGTCCTAACCATGTCTTATTTTCTGTATTTTGCACTTTCACACAAGGGTCCTTGCTAGCCCTGAAGGAACTGCTCTTCCCAGGGGACCTGATCCCTAGAGCTAGCCAGTAACTCGTGAGTGCATTTTCATATGCAAACCACCCAGTCCTGGGCCCATATCCCCAACCACCTCCTTTATAGGGCTTTTGCACTCTGGGATACTGTCCCCTTGCCCTCGTCACCCCAGGGCCAGGTACCAGGATGAATGAGGGACAGCCTCTGTGCCCCAGAGACTGCTGGAATCATTCAGACTAGCCATTCCTAAGCCTGCTTACCCTGCTCACTCATCCTCCCCATGGAAACCACGACAAAGGCCCTTGCCCATGGCTTCCTGTGCCCCCTCTGCCTCCTGACTAACCCTCGTGCTTTCTCATGTGGCCCTGCAAGGCCTGGTGTGCCCCTGTTTCTAGGGATCTGTGAATATGACAAACTTCTTCCTTCTCAACAGTTATTTCCAGGTCTGCATGTCTTGGCCTATCTCATAAAAACAAACCCCAGGTACTTTCACAACAGCCAGGTGCAGACCTATGTACTCACTCTCCGTGGATCATCCCATTGAATCTCAACACAATCTGTGAGGCAGGTGCTATTATATTTGGGGGATGAAGAAATGGAGGCCCGAGTACATGCAATCAAAAGTGACAGGGCCAGGATTCAGAATTCAAGCATGCCCGTCTGAGAGCCTGTGCTCCCAACCTCCAGTCTGGCCTGCCTCAATTATAATTGAGTAGTCATCTTATTATTATTATTACACTAGCAGGCAGGGTGGGGCAGTATGGGGTCCCATGTGAAGGCAGACATCAGGTGGGAGAGCTGGGCCATGTTTCTGGTCCTGGTCCCGAGCAGCCTGTGTTGAGAGTTATGAAAGACCCATTGAATTGCTGAATGCTAGGAGGGGGGCAACTGACTAGAGCACACTGTCTTGATGGATTTGGAGGTCTCTGGGGCAGCCCCTCCTAGAACTCTCTCTCCAGGGACCTATTTCCAATCATCCCCTGCCTCCACCCTCTATCAGTGGAGGTTTTAGGTTATGAGCAACAGACACCAGATCTGGGTAACTTCAGCAACACTGCTTAGAAGATTACTAGGGTGTTCACAGAATTGGTGGAGAACTTGGCAAGCCAGGGTCAGAGTCTTCACATAACCAAGGGAAACTGTTAGCTAGAAACACAGCAAAGTTGCCTTCAGGAATGGTGTGATCAGGGCAACACCTAGCACTCTTATCCCTGGGTTCTCACTATTGCTACCCTTGCATTACTGTTTTTTTTTCCTGACACTGACTCAAGATTCTAAGTCAGTGAGCACTTTTGGGGGTGATGGGCATGTTCACTGTCTGCATTGTGGTTATGGTTTCATGGACATATACATATGTCACAACATAGCAAATTTCACATTTGAAATATTTGTAGTTACTGTGTATAATCTTACCTCAGTAGTGCTGGTTACATAATACCGTCTGGAGAGAGCTCCTGCACCTAGAGCTGGGGCCAGTAGGGAGGGAAGTGGAGGATGAAACAAGAGAATTAGGGGCAGAGGTAGACAGGCCAGCTTCATGGTTGGTAAAGGCTGCACTGGGCAGGGGAGGCAAACCACAGTTCCTCTTCCTGGCTCCCCCTGAAGGTTCTAGATCCCTGCTGGCTTGTGGTTTGTCAACAGCAAGTTCAATATGTAGCTGATATTAGGGTTTGACGGAGTCACTGTTTTCTCTTCGTCTCCAGCCGGTCCTTGCTCTCAGCTCCTTTCTAACCACCTTCCCCAAGTGACCCCTGAGGGGGACCCCACCAAGTCTCAGTCTGGGAGGGGGGACCTTCCGTGATGACATCCACCCTAACTTTAGGAGCGGCATGGAGAGAAATCACAGTGGCTAGAACTTGTTTGGAAATAGCATTGTTCAAAGGGATTCTCCAGAAGCAGATGCTGAGATTTAACTTGTTTGAACTTTCTATCTTGAAATAATTATAGAGTCACAGGAAGGTGCCAATACAGTATAGAAAGGTCCCCTATGTCCTTTCCCCTTTGCTCTCACTGGTAACATCTTAAATAAAACCAGGAATAGTGTAATAGTAAAACCAGGAAATTGACATGGGTACACCACCACAGACCCTGTTTGGATCTCACCTATGTTTATGTTATTCATTTGTGTGTGTACGTGTGTATATGGGTATGTGTGTGAGCCTGTATATTATCACACGTGTAGGTCTGTATGTCTATCACCACGATCCAGATACAGAGCTTTTCTGGCACCGCAAAAGAGCTCCCTATGTGTCCTCTTTACATATAGTTGTCCCCTTGCCCCATTCTTAACCCTTGGCCACTGCTAAACCGCTTTCCATCTCCAGCATTGTTTCCAGGGGCTCTCATCCTAGGAAGGAGGGAAATGCAGACACAGATCTTGGTGTACATGGAATATTACATATAAATTATGCAAATACAAATGGCTACATAAATACAGGAATGAGATTACACCATGACACTTGGGGTGCAGTGGCTGTGACACTCCTGAGGAGGTCTAAATCAAATTAAAACAATCGGAAGGGACCAGAAATGGGATGCTTTCAGCCATTAAAAAAAATGAGGTGGTGCTGTGTGAGCTGACATAAAATGATCTCCAAGGCAGATGGTGAAAGTCAAAAGACAGGACGTGTGCTCCAGCACATGCCTGTGAGTGTACAGGCAGCTCTGTAACCACACATCATGTGTAAGTGCACAAACACCACTAAGGGTATCACCCCCGGAAAGCGAGACCAAGGCTGAGGAGGGAGGGAGACTCTCTTTGCTTGTCTGCTCCTTTGTATTGTTTATTTTCACTACGTGCATGGATTGCTTTTATTGAAAGGGAAAATTAAATCCTGTTTGGACCCTCCTTAAGCGAGGTTGAATAAAAATTTTGTCTTGTCATCTGTGCTTTCTCCTCTCCCCTGGGTTTGCAAAATGTCCCCTTGGGACTTAGCAGTCTGGAAAGGGGGATGTGCATACTCTAATTTCCATGGCAGCCGTTGATCCTGGTGACCCAGATGCAGGCCTGACCTTCCCAGCCCTGTGTGCAGGGTGCTTGGACTCCCCTCCCCAGGACAAGGGCATTCCCACACCAGCCTGGGTCCCGAATGTGCAAAAGATACCTCTAACAGCACCGGTGTGAGTGAGCGAGACAGCAGTGTTAGGCAGACACTGTGTCCAGTGCTCTGTGCAGCACTCTCTAAACACAAGTGTCCCTTACCTCAAGGCATCTTTACCCTCTGCCTGGGACTACCAAGTTCCCATTTTCCTGTCCTCGGGGGTTGTCTGCTTAGCTGCCTCCACCGATTTCTAAACACACAGTCCTGTGTGGAGGCTGTCTTCAGGGCAGCCCGTTCTCACATCAGGCCCCCTCCTGGCCCCCTCAGCTTCCTCTCTCAGACCCACCAACAGGAAGAATTGTTGAGCTCCTGATGGGGCTGGAGAACCCTTATTGACTGCAGAAGAAAATCAGGTTACCTTCCAAAAGTGGGCTCCAAAGAGGTTTATGTTCTTTCCTGGGGAGTCAATGAGAGCAATAAATGACATAAATTAATTTCTCAGTAAATTATTGTGATACACAAAATTCTTGGTAAGTTCTTCTCCTTCAATTCATGTATGTCTTGACCTACAGACCTTGTCTTGCCTTGGGACTGGCCCACATGAGAACCAGTTGAGCCTGTTGGCAGAGGAATATGTGGGTGGCAGCAAAGGGTTTTGGGTGATCCCCTGCTGCCTCAGTGGTCCCGACATGACTACCACCCAAAGAGCTCTTGAAAGGCCACATGATTGGAGATGCTTCTACCAACGTGCTTTAAAACAAAGCAAGACGAAATAATGATTTTCCTCACTTAGCAAATGAGGTGGGATAACCCAGTTCACCAGCAGGAGGCCCGAACCTGCAGCAGCTGTCCAGGGCTGTTAGCCTGAGCAGACTCATCTTTGGTCAGGCTAGACAAAAGGTAAACAACATTTTAAATTTTTGTTGCAGGATGGCCTTATCTAAGCAACTATATAATTTCTCTCAGATTTTTAACAAGCAGAACCTACAGATCTCCATTCTTCCTCAGGTCCCTGAAACTGGAACCTATAGGTAGGACCATTCCAATATATTTTTACACATTATGTTGGGACTCAGTTTAACTTCCTGTGTAGTTAAAGGCACAATTTCCAGAGTCAGCCCGACATGGTTGTATTCTGCCAAGCCACCTGGACATGTTGCATCCCATGTTACTCTGAGCCTCACTTTCCTCATATTTAGAAGGATGGTAATGCCCACAAGAGAGGGTTGTGCTCCTGTTTAAACTGAGCAATAAGTGTAAATCCTTACAACAGTAAGGGCTTCAAGATTTTTTTGGTCATTAGTATTACTGGGATTGATAAAGTCTCATTAGGCACTAAGCAGAACCTGCCTCAACTTGTTGGTGATTTATTGTATATTGCATTTCTAGGTTTCTTATCTGCCATATTTTCCTCAGGGGAAGGAAAGTGGAAAATACTGGGCTAGATGGAAGATAGCCAGCACTTTTCCCAGAAGACTGGCCCTGCCCCTGCACCAGGCTTCCTCGCTGGAATTCATCTGGACCCAATGGGCCACCAGCCAGCTCATGGCTCACTGAGGGGCTGTGGGTGTGAGCGGCTCTTCGGTAAAGCCGGGAGGAGGAGGTGGTGAGGGGAGGTGAATTGCGGGCTTCACAGCTCAGGCCGCTAGACCAATGGCAGCCTCTGCGGGACCTGTGGCCCAGGAGAGAGGATGGGCGCCAGAAGACCCAGCCCAGCCAGACCCTGAAAGTGGCAGAAGGTGAGTGACCGTGCCAGCAACAAGGGAAAGGCAGGGGTTCTTGGCCTTTGGGGCCTCCACAAAGGGTGACTATGTCTGCCTGGACAGCAGTCGGGAGACCTGAGCTCTGCTCTTGCCTGGTTACTAGCAAGCTGTGCAAACCTGGGCAAGTCCACAGCTTCTCTGGGCCTGTTTCCTCATCTGTAAAATAAGGAATTGTCCAAGTCAGACTGATGACAATACCAAGCATTTGTGCAGTGCCTGCCTGTTGCACGTTCCCAAATGGCATCTCGTTTGGTCCTTGTAGCCGCCCGTTGTTGGAGGGATGCTGCCACATTTTACAGCTGAAGAGACTTGCACAGCAGGGCCAGTTATTCAGTTGGTGTAAAGCAAGGCTGGACCTATAATCCTGGTGTCCTGAGGAAAATTCTGGCCTCTGGTGAACATACCCTTCCCCTGGTGCTCTGACATCTGAAGATCCCCAGTTCCTTGTGCGGACTTGTGTCTCCTGTGGGGGCCCCCCTTTTCTCACCTGTGCCCTCACCCCCGCCCTCTGCCTGGCAGTTTTCATGTTTTCTCCACCCCCTTCCCACAGTTACCTTACTTATTTGGCAGGCTGGACACGCTGATATTTCTGAGAAGAGGGAGATGAACACCAGACATGCCCTCTCCACTCTCCCTGGGTTAGCGCTTGCATTCAGCCTATTTCGTAATTCTCTGTGCCTTGTGGAATGCCTCCCTGTGGGGTCCTAAGAGGTGAAGGTAAGTGAGGCTTGTTGAACCGTAGGCCAGCATATCTCCAGATGTGAGCCTGGACCATCCACCATGGGTCACGGGTACTGAGGGTGCTGGGTAAATGGGCAGATTCCCCTGCCCCACCACAAAATTGGTGACAGAGAACATGTGTTTCAACAAGCTCCCCCTGTTTCGTATGGGCCTGTACCCCAGTTTGGGAAACACCACCCTTTAGGAGACTGCGCTTTGGGCTACAGAGGCTGCTGATGGATTCCTTAATGTGAAACTGTCCTTGCATTACTGGACTGAGTTCTTCCTAATAAAGGCAGTTTATTATTTGTTAAAGTAAATCTAGGATTTAACTTGGTTATATTTCACTTAGAGCTTTATGTCTTTATAAGTTACATTTGCTAGAATTTTCCTTTCTTGTGGGCTATCTTCACTGGAATTGGGTAATGCTACTTTGTAAAATAAATTGTAGTCTTACCATTATTTTCTATAATCTGAGCTAGTTTGACATCAGACTTGTTCTTTGAAGATTAGATAGATTTACCTATAAAGACAGCCTGACCTGGGCCTGACATTACTTCAAATGGTTGACATTTTATCACCGTTCTAATTTCTTAACTGATTATTGGTCTGCTCATATTGTTACTTGTTGAAACTAATTCATTTCTCTAGTTCACCAGACATCTGCACGTGCCACTCATATTTCTATAGCCCCTCCCTTTCCAGAGTTGTGTTAACTTTCTCATATTAATGTTGCATTTTTTTCCACTTTTCCTTTTATCATGCTTTTCTCCTTAGTCATTTCAGTGACCCAACTTGCTTTTTCACAATATTGAGTCATAATGGACATACAATAAATGGCAAATTTAAAATGACCAATGTAATGAGTTTCAACATTTGGATACATTTATGTAGCCATCATTATCATCAAAATACATTTATCATTTTGACCTTTTCTGGTTTTCTAGTTGCTTAACTTTGGATTTTATATTGAGTAGTCTATCCTTCTATTTGTGTACATTTTATTCTTTTTCTAGTTCCTTAAGTAGACATTACTTCATCTCTTTTTACTCTCTATTTATAAATACATGTGATGCTCATTATTTATGGCAGGTATGTTCTGTAAAGACACTGCACACACTGACTTAACAAATTCTGAGCCATTACTCCAAGGGAATATGCGTAGTTTCCTGCTAACACCTGCGCACACATTTTTCATCAATCAATCAATACATAATCTTGTTCTATGTGTGTTTCTGTTTAAATACTCCTTTAAAAATACAGCTCGTCGATGCATTAACAAAGAACTCATGGTCAATAGCATTGAACTCAGATCTGAACAATGCTCACCTAACAGGTGTGTTTTCTCAAGAAGGGGCGTTACAGCCTTGGGCTTAGGAGCGCAGCCAGCACTTCAGCACCACTCTTGAGGGCCACTTTAAACAGTGAAATCACCAACAAAAAACAATAAAAATGTGAAACACAGAGCATTACATAGACCATGGAAAACACACTTGTTCACAGTGTAACAGCTGAAACGAAACAAGAGTGTGGAGTCTGCCTTGGTTGACCTCAGCTGCGAACGTGTGCCTCGGGGACTCTGATTTATTACTGCTTTGCTCATTCCACAATGACTGCAAAAATACTTTGAGTATTGATTTTTGGGTTACAGATAAATTTTAGCAAGTAGGTGAATTCACAGATACAGAGTCTGCGATAATGAGTATCGGTTAAAGTTATATTAAACTCATGAGACACAAACAAAGCCATTCTCTCAGAGGAAAACTTACAGCAATGAGATGTGATAAATCCTCACTTGCTGTCTCAGTTTTGGTTTGCTGGGCCCTGATGCCACATCACTTCGTCACTAACCTCTGGTCAAATCACTGTGTAACTAGGTCATCTGTGAGGGTTTTCGATGGCTGATACCCCTGAGACATCATAGAATGTCCCGTTTCCCTGGACCAGCTGAGGTCAAAGTCCTGGCATGGCTTGTACTAGAGGTGTTCAAGCAAAGGGTGGAGGCTGTGGGGCATGGTGGAAAAACCACCTTGGATTTGAGCTCTGTCTCTCTGTCTCTAACATACTGAATAAATTTCATTAAATTATGTACTCAACTTCTCTGAGTCTATTCCCTTCCTATAAAATGCTATGGCCCACAGATTATGACAGAGACCAAATGACCTAGGGGGTGGGAATTTGGGAAACAGTAAAGAGCTGTGTAAATGTGAGGGGGGAAGTCACTGTCATCCTGTCAATAGCACTCCTAGTGGTGTGTGCCACTCTCTGACGTTATGGCCACATTTTGGATCCGTCTCACTGGGACTCTGTCATTCCAGAACCTAAAGAGGCACAAGCCTGGGCTAGATGATGCTAGATGGATGGGGGAGCTGGGACGAATCCTCTCTGGGAGTCATAGGCCCTCTGCCCACCCCCTTAACAGCCTGCGTGCCTGACAAACAGTGGAGACTTTGGCAGGGAGGCAGGCGGTATGAGCCTGCAAAGGCCAACCTCTCCCCAGTTGTCCTGCAGGCTGGCATCTGGTGGTGGCCTGGATCCTGGACAGGGCACAGGCAATGAGCATTGGAGTGTTCCTCCCTGAATGGGAAGGCCCACACTTGCGGGTGGCAGGGACACTGCTAAGAACTCCAAATGCCATGCCTTGTTCCACAGTAAACATGAGGAAGGACACCAGACCTTCTGCCTAATACTACATTCCTATCATAGCCAGAGGCTGTGGAATATCCTGAAATAAAGACCATTTAGGATGGTAAACAGTGGTAGGAGCATTACCCAAAGGACCCAGGTGAAAAGAAGAAAGCTAAGGCGGGGTTGACAGTCCACAGCAGGCTACTGCCCTGACATCGTGCTTGTGAATGCCTTAGAGTTTCTTTAGGTCAAAGACAAAAACCCCGTAGGTCCCTCTCCCTGTCATGACGGGAGCATCCAGGGCACTGCATATCTGAGACACCGGCTAATCTGTCTTCTGAATTTCTGTGTTTCCAGTGCCTGACACCAGGCAAGCAGGGGCTGTGCCAGACACAGTTGTTGAATGAATGGATGCATGGAGGGAGCGAGCCAGCACTTATTAGAAGCCTTAAGTGCAGGTGTAGGCTAACGACAGGTTAAGGAAGACACATAGGTATTCAAGTGGCATCTATTCCATAAGCCCTTTCCGGGTTCTCTTAGCAGATGGACTCACTCCAGGGGGGATGAGGAATGACCTGGGAGGAGGCTTCAGGGGACCCTCTGTCAGACCTTTGTCTCATGTTGAGTAGGGGGCCACCAGAGGTCTGGTCTGCAAGGCTGATGAGGGCGATGGCATGTAGAGGACAGACGGCCTGTACAAATTACCAGTCCCAGGGTCCAGAAGCGGGTGTGTGGCTCAGACACAAGTCCGTCCTTTCTGCAGGGATCTGAGCAGTTCTTCCACTGGGGCACAGACTTGCTCTCAGCAGGCCACATGGGCCATGGACACTGTCCCCTGGCCCAATGGCCTTGAGGGCAGATCATGCCCTGTGTTCAGGCACCAGGCTCCTGCTCGAATCCCACTGCTCCAAAGTACAAATACTCACACGCATGCACGCGTGCACAGAATAAACTCAAAGAACAGGCCCTGCAGCTACACCAGAGCCTGTTTTCCATCCTTATTTGGCCGCAGCCCTTCTTTGCTGAGAGATCTTCACCGTGTTTGACTCTGATGGAAACAGCACTGTCACCCGCCAGGAGCCACAGGAGGCGCTGACCCTGCTCACCGATAGCATCCCTGGACAAACTCAAATTCCTCTTCCGGGTGTACAGTGTCGGCTTCTGTAAGGAGGAAGGGCCCTCGGGGGCTGGGATGGACTCGGTGGGAGGAGCAGAGGGACACGGCCCGTCTGGGTGACATGGGTGACGTGCCCAGCATAGGATCGTTTTCTCCAGGTGAGGCTGACGGCTCTCTCCCTCTGTGTGTCCCCCAATTCTCTGCCTGAGCCCTGAATCCTTTATGTGGGATTGGAGCAGGGGTGGCATGTATACAGCTCAGGAGCTAAATACCCTAGATTCAATTCATCAGAAGCAAGAACTTACATTCTTTGCAATGTTTGAAAAAAGAAATCACTTTGTTGCCTTTTCCTTATTACAATAAAATCCCACTGTGAACATTTTAGACAATACAGCATGGTTTAAAGAAGAAACCAAAAATCACCTACACCATTTATCTATTCTGCCTTCTAACTGATCACACACACATGCACTTACATACACAGACACGTTTTTTAAAAAACAAAATGGGATGATACTGCCTTTTTTCACTAAGCAATATAAACATTTTTTTCATGTAAGACTATGAAGCTTTCTAACATCATTTTTATTGTAGTAAAATATACGTAACATCCAATTTACCACTTTAACCATTTTAAGTGTACAACTCAGCAGCATAAGTACATTCACATTGTGAGGTGACCATCACCACGCTCTCTCTCCAGAACTCTTTCATCTTCTAAACGGGCACTCTGTACACAGTAAATAGTAACTCTCATTACTCCCTCCACTAGTCCCTGGAAACTACCTTTCTACTTTCTGTCACCATGAACGTGACTACTCTAGGTACCTCTTATAAGTGAAATCATGTAATACTTGTATCCTTCTGTGACTGGCTTTATTCACTTAGCGTAATGTCCTCAAGGTTCATCTGTGTTGCAGCATGTGACAGAACTTAATTATTTTTTAAGACTGAGCCATACATTCTAAGTGTATGCCACATTTTGTTTATTCATCCATCAGTGGACACTTGGATTGCTTCCACCTCTTGCTACTGTGAATAGTGCTGCTAAGAACATGGTTTTGAGACCCTGTTTTCAATTCTTTTGGACAAATACCCAGAAAAGGAATTCCTGGATTGTATGGTAATTCTAGTTTGAATTTGTTGTGGAAATGCCATACTTTTTTCCACAGTGGTTGCACTATTTTACATTCCCACCAGCAATGCACAAGGGTCCCAATTTCTCCACTCCTTGCCAACTCTTGTTATTTTTTGTTGTTTTGATAATAGCCATCCTGGTAGGTGTGAAATGGTAACTCGATATAGTTACAGCATCACTTTTAGTGAGTGTATCATATTCCACCATATGTACGTGATCCTGCATTCCACGCAACACAGCCTACTAGTTAGGATCTGACTCTGAGGCCACGTTGCCTAAATTCAAATCTCAGCTGCAGCACTTATTAATCATACAACCTTGGCAATTAATTTCTCTGTGCTTCGATTTCTTCACCTCTCACATGAGAATAATGATCATAATAATAGTACATATCATGAGGTGGTTATGAGGACTAAATCAGTTAACTTATGGAAACTCAGAACTATGCCTAGCACAGGATACACTCTGTATATGTGTCTGCTGTTATTTATTACTATTTGCTCAAATCCCATTTCCAAGATGGGAAAATTCCACCCCTCCCCACTTCTGCATAAATGACACTGCAGTGAATGTCTTGGTTTTTACATCCTTGACAACTTTGTGGCTTAAAGGGTCTCTGAAGGCCTGGAATCATGATGGAAAGGGTGGCTAAAGAGGGAAAGAGGCACCTGATGAGACTGGGATGGTGGGTGAGGGCCGACAATAGGGAGCCATTGAAGAGCATAGAGCAGGGGAGTCATCAGGCTGGAACTGCATACTGAAATGCTCAACCTAGCTGTAGACACTCTGGCCTGTGGGGATTTGCTCACTGCCATTCCCACCTGACTCAATCTAGGCAGGATTCCTGGAACCCACTTCCCAAGTAGACCCCCTTTCCCACTACATGGGCAGCCGACCATACCTTCTTCCTGACTCCAACCCAGACTCCAAGGGACCCTCTTCACTGGCTGCATTCTGACCACCAAGCTTTGCTCACACCTGGGATTTATGAACAACCTCAGATGGAGAGCTTGGCTTGGGACAGGAGAAAGCAGCACATTCACCCCCTCCTCGTGGACAGAGGTGGGGAGGAAGACAGAGCAGGGCAGGTGGGAGGAGCTGTGTGGTTTTATGGCAGGGATTAGAGGGCATCCCTTCCCGTGGCTTCAGTTTTCTCCGAGAGCCGGGCAGGGAGTGGATGCACTTGGAGGTGTGAGTGGTCCTTGCAGAGGCAGGATAGGGACCTTACTAGAGAAGCATGAGAGGGTTGCCTGGCAAGTTGAAGGCCTTGCTGTGGCTGGGGAGGCAACGCTTTCGCTTTCTTAGGTGTTGTTCTTCAGCAATGGGTCAATTCACTGCCCTGGTGCAGGAAGGAAGAAAACAGGCGGTTGGCTTTACCCAGGGACGGGATGTTTTTAGGGTCAGGGGAATAGAAGGACAGAGGGACAAGGAAGAAGAATACACATGAGAATAATTATGAAGGAGGACGCTGGGTTTGATACGGTGTAAGGAGAGAATAAAGCTGGGTGTGAAGGGGGCCAGGGAGGGACTGGTGCCCCGGATGTGGTCAGAAACCTGTTATGTTGTGGCTCTTGACTAGGGAAGCTGAAGGACAGGTGTGCCTGAAGAGTGGCATGTTAGACTCTGCTTTGTAATGTGACTATGGACTTTGGCTTGGGTCTGAATGATGATCACGATGCCAATAAGACTGTCCATTTATATGCAACTACCTTCTTCCAGATACTGCATTGAGGGCTTTGTAATGAATTGTCTAGTATCCTTGAGCCAATTCTGAAAGGGAGGGATTATTATCCCCATTTTATAGATGAGCAAAGTAAGGCTCACTACTCTAAAGGACTTACAGCCCACCATCACACAATTAGTAAGACGCAGAAAAATGATGCTGCCTCAAATGTGTCTATGTCCAAAGCAGGCCAAGAAGTCATTAATTATGGCTCCTGCTGCTTGTGAAGAACGAAGATATACAGAAAAATAAAAAGCCCAAATCTCATCTCGGTTGGTATTTTGGCTTCCTTTTCCTGTCACAAGGTTAGCCATCCATGTTCACATAGGCCACATGGCTTGACGTGAGTGGCCCACTGTGGTCTCTCAGGACAACAGAGTCGTTACAAGTTAGGAGACACCAGGGAACCCCCTCTTCACCACCACCCACATACAATTTGCCTCTGGATAATGAGAGTCCAGGCTCATAGCTCCTTATGGATTCAGCAAGCAGGTGTATCTTCTGGGCAGATGGGCTTGGAAGTTCAGGTTCTTAGAGAGGAGACTGCAGGCTCTGGGGAAAGGCAGGCACTGAGCCAAGATCCTCCCTGCCTAGGGGCAGTGTTCTCTCTGTTGGGCTACAGCAGGTAGCCATGGAAGGCTTCTGAACTGAGGGTGACATATGTCCTTGACTGCCTGGTCCATACCCCGGAAAGGGAGTTGGTTGGCAGAAGCTGGAGGTGGGTGGAGAGGAAAAAGTTCAGCCCTGGATGGTACAGTTGGGCAGGGCATGGGGCGTTAGTAGGTGCGGAGTGAGGCAGGCCCCTGCTCCGCCTCCTGCCCACCTGGGACACGCAGCGGCACGAATGACGGGGATGAGCTGCTCCCCGTGGGTGGTGGTGCCTGCGTGCCAGCACCATCCCGCTGCCCCGCGACAAGCTGGACCGGCTCACGCTGGCGCGCTTTCAGTCGGCCAGCGAGGATGCGCCTTCGCCTTCGACGGGCTCCGGGACGAGCTGCAGCACTTCCACGGGGTCACGGAGAACCTAACCAGCAGGTACGGCCCTGCGCCTGGCCTGGACACTGCCTGTGCCACGGTTAGACTCTGGGGGCGAAGAGCAGCCTGACCGCCCGGGGTCCTCGGCCCCACCCGGCCCACACACCAGCTTTCTCCTGGGGACAAAGGGCTGCCACGCAGAGCAGCTATTGTTGTGCCTCAGTTTTCCACAAGGACTCTTCAGAACCAGGTCACGGTGTTAAGCACCCACTGTGTGCTAGGCATTTTTACAAATGCCAGGTCATTTAATAGCAATGCCTATTTTACAAAGGGAAATTAAAGTTGCTTCACCTTAAGAAACTCACGGAAGACCACACAAATAATCAGCCAAGGTGGTCGTTTATTCAGCTTGGTTGAGCAGCTACCATGTACCGGGCGCTGTGCTGAATCAAGGCCGTGTCCTGGCGGTGAATGAGGTCCCTGCTCTGGGGGCTTCATTCCAGACGGAGAGAAGTGTAATTTATACTAACAAACAAACATATACACTAGAGAAGTACAAAATTGATAAGAACTGTGGGGAAGAGAAAATAAATAGGGTGTAACAACAGATCCAAGTCTGACTTCAGGCTCTGAATAGTGAAGGTTTTGTCGTTCATTCTTTTTATATATTCACTTTCTTGTGGGTTATTTACCACAACACGTCTCAGATTCTGTGGTCCTTTCCGATTGCTTTCTCTTTTTTCAAACGGGAGGGGAGGCAATAAAATCAGCTGTGGATGTGGCATCAGACAGACCAGTTCCATCTCTGCTCCACCTACTGTGTGACTGAGCAAGTGCCTTGACCTCTCTGCTTCCTCCTGTAAAAGGAGGCCGGCCTGCTTGCCACGAGGCTGCAGAGAGTTGGAGGGTGACAGCGGGGATTCCAACTCCGGTGGTCCGGGCCCCGCGGACTCCTGCCCTCCCGCGAGCCCGGCCTCGGGTGCTCTGAGCGGAGCCCCTCTCTCGCAGCGCTGGGTACCGGCTGGCGCCCCCTGCCGCCCGACCGCGCTCGCGCCGTGCTCGCCCTCTGACCGCAGCCTATCCGCACAACCACCGCAGGCAGCTGCTCTGCCGGGCCACCTACGCCGGCCTCCACGTGCTGCTCTTGGCGCTTGACGGCCAGCGCGCACCAGAGACCGCGGCCCCAGCGTCATGGTGGCCAGGGGCTGCGGCCAATGCCTCAGTTTTGGCCGCAGCTTCATCGCAAGTGCATGCAGGGAAGCGGGCAGGGGGGGCTACTCGAAGAGAAGAGACACCACGTGGACACCTGGAGTGCCAGGGCAGGACGGCACCTTAGAAATCAGCTGGGCCAAGACTCAGTGGGGGAAACTGAGGCCCAGAGAGGGACAACGATTTGTCCATATTCACACAGCACATATGTAACATAGCAGGCCTTTTTCGTGCGCTTATTGTGTAGCAGTGTCAGTGCTAACTAAGCACTTTCCATGTGATCATCACAACCCTATGGTGGAGGAGAAGGTGGCGCTGGCTCCTGTGCAGGGCTCCCACTACAGAAAAAACACTTCTAGAGGCCCTGAATGCCAGACTAAGGACTCAGACTGTGGTCTTCTGAACCAGAGAGTAAGGTCTCCAACTGTTTTTGACCACACACTCCCACCGTTAAAACACAATAAAGCAAAGCAACATGAACAGAAAACAAAAAACCCTTCTGTGGATAAAGTTAAGGTTCCTGTGGTCAGGATTCTCACATGGCTCTGGTTAGCTCACTACACATGTGTGAGCAATGATGCCTCGCTATTGACGCTATATAAAGATCTCCGCCCAGTACTCTGGGCGACACAGTGGCACACGGCTGCACAGCTGCAGGGCTGCAGAGACTGGAATGGTGGCAGTGCCTAGGACAGAGACTGAGATGGCTGCAGGGGGGCAGAGAGGCCCAGAGGCAGAGACCAGCATGCTGCATGCAGAATTGCTCTGAGTGGATGGGATTCTAGTGATTGACCTGCCACCGTGGGAATGAAGTTGGATATAAACCCTTTCACCCCAAGAATGTTTCATTGTCATTCCTTGGTTTCATTGAATCTATAGTGAACTTGCCTGGGGCTGAAACCCATTGGCAGGGCACCTTCTGATAACCCAATGTGTGCTCCTTTACTTATATTCATGTCCTATTATCATTAGCCATTAAGCATGGCACGATACAGCTTTGAGGCAAGATTCATCCTTAGCAATCAGGAGCATACACCTCTAGTTCAAATACTTGTCTTGGTAGTATCAGCTTCTTATTACAGTTGGTTTTTATTTATTTTTAATTTATTTTTATTTTTATTTTTTTATTCATTTTATTATCATTAATCTATAATTACATGAAGAACAGGTTTTATTTTTAACCTCGTAACTGGCTAAGAAGAGTTCATACCAGGAGTGGGAGACACATAACTCATTTTCTCTGTCACTGCCTCTTTCATTATTACTACTACTTGTGCTCGGCACTTTCTTTGTGAGGAATCTGAAGCTACTTGTCCTTTCTGTGAGAGCTAGTTAGCTTCGTTAAGTTAAAACCAGGTAATGTATTCTGCAAGTCCGCATGCATGGGTGCACATAAATGCATTGAAAGCAAATGGGTAAGAAGGGAGTCTTTGTCGAACGTTCCTTGGAAAGCCCCATCGTCCCCTAGGACATGTGGGGAACATGCCACAGATTCCCATCTTACATACAGACTAAATGAGGGCACCAGGTCAACACAAACACTAAATATTATTAAAAGCTTATGTATTTAGGTAAAAGTGATACCTAAAAAGTAGACATTTTCTCATCATCCCCAATTCTTGTTTTGGGTACCCCAGTTCCATGTCCTAGGGGTGTGGCAAAAGCTCGGGGGCAGGGCTGATGGTGATGGGCCCATTCAGGAAGCACAGCCAGCTCCGGGGTGGGGGGCAGGGACACAATTGCTGGGGAAGGAGGATGGGGCAGAGAGAGCCAGGAAGGGCCCTCTGCTGCTTTGTGGCACCAGGTGCAGATGCTCAGGTCCTGCCTCATGTGGCTGTGGGCCATGTGGCTGGCTCAGGTGCTGCTGCTCCACCAGAACATCCAGTTCCACCAGTTCATGGGCTGCACGGTGGTCAGGCCCTCCCTTGCACAGGGTGGCCCATGTTGTGAACTTTGGTGAGTGGCCTAGGGCTGGAGGGGTGGAGGGTGGAGGTGTGACCTGGGTGGGCCTTTCACAAACCAGTCAGTTATCCAGCCCACGGCACAGGACATGGGGCATAGTCCCTCTGAGCCTGCCTGCCCAGCGTGTGAAGAGGTGTCCTGTAGGCTGGCCGTCTGGACCCAAGTCCCTGCCTGCACAGGTGTCTGATGGGTAGAGGTGGGGTCCCCAAGGGAGGGTGGAGAGGGAAGAGCTTGTCTTGCACTTGTTTCCAGCATTCCCGGCTCAGTCCGAGGCCAGCCCCTCCATGTCTGGGATCTGCTGCTCACCACCAGGCCTGGCACTGGCTAGGCCCACGGCTCTGCCTCCCCAACCTGTGTGGCGCTGCTACTCCTCACGTCTGTCTGCTCCAGCTCCTGCATCCACAGAAGAGGCCACTTTGAGGTGCCTGGCCATCGCCCCTTTGCCTCTCCCAGGCTGGGCTCCCACTTTCATCTCATGTGGGGCACCCTCTCGTTTACTCCAGAGCCCAGGAAGGTCCCAGGCTGGTCTGCATACTTTATGCATGAGGTTTGGGTTGTGCTGTTGGGTTTGTCTGCCAAGTCAAAATGCTTTGCTCTGAAAGATTCTGCCATTTTGCTGGCTTATCCCCTTGCCTTCATTGGATTAAATTGGGCTCAAGATGGCATAGGGAGGGGTAGGAACAAGGCTCACCAGGGTTCAAATCCCCACTCCGCTATTTACAGGTCCCTCAGCTTTCTCATCTGTGAAATGACACTACAATTCTCTACCTAGTAAGTTATTTTAGGAATTAAGTGAGATGATGTATGTGAAGCCACCAACCAGATACCTGGCTTGTAGATGCTGCAAAAATATTAGTCCCATTGTCAACCTTTTGGTGAACAGCCTTCCAGAGCTCTCTCTCCCTATTTACATGGATATATAGATGAGAGATTATTTTGCATACATAGAATCACACTGTTCACATTGTTTTTCAGCCCACTTTTTCCTGGTGAACAGTATGTCATGAAAATCTTGGCATGTTAGTTCTTTAAAAAAAGAACTTTTCTTTCTCTTGGCTGCATAGTATTCCATTGTATCAATAATAATATGATCATAATGACTATGTATGTTATATGGATGTGTCATTTGAGCAATTATTGAAGGGGTTTCTTCAGGGTCTCAGCTTGGAATCTGCCTATCTTTTGGGCCCCAAGTCTCCAGCAGTGAGTTGAGTGAATCTACATGGAGGCTGGAAAACAACTTTATTTGCAGCTCTGGTTTACAGAAATCAGGAGGGAGACACAGGTTGGCAGTGGTGGCTGATTGAATTCTACCTACAGTTGGGGAGGCCTCCTACGTGACTGACTGACTGAGGCACTTTAGAGCTCACATGTATAGACAAGGCATAGCCCAACCCTCCTGGCACTTGAACCCTGATGGGGGAGGAAGCCTCAGAGAGACACACAGGATCAGGAAGGAGGAGTCTAAGGACCTGAACTCTGGTCCCGACTTCAATTTACTCTTTAATTCACAAATCTGGACCTTTGTAAGTACAGGGTTGAACCAAGTCATTCATGAACTTGGATGGGAGAAAAAATGCCATCTCTATTTTGTTAACCTCTAACTGAAACTGAGCATTATTTTTCAATTGTGAATGTAGACAACAAACACCATAGCATGAACAATACTGTGACTATTTCAAAATAAAACCCAGGGAATCTGTTACATTATAGCGCCATTTTGATGCTTTGGAATATCACTTATATTCATCACTACAGATTCCCTGTGGTCATAAGCTCTTGCTGGATCCTACTGTTCCATGTGTTAACAAAGAAGCAGATGTATTCTTAAGTCACAAATTTGTTTTTTTAATATTTTGACAACTGTCTCATTATAATTGGCTTCATGTATGATTTTTTGTGTATGTTACTTTGTTTTTAAAAACCTTTCTCTGAGGAGTCTATCCAGTGCCTTCACATGACTGCCAAGAGTTCATGCTTTAAAACCAAAATAAATTAATTAAATTTAATTTAATTTAAAAATAAAAGAAGAAAGGTAAGAATGCCAGGCTAGGAGCTCTCTCAGGGGCCTCCTTGCTGTAATGCTGTGGATTGCTTCTGGTACCCTTCAGCAGAGGGTAGCCACCCCACACCACCTTTTCACGTCATCATCCATTCAGCAAAGAAGCTTAATAAGCACCCACTACATCCCAGGTGCCAGGCACAATGAAAGCTCTTGGTCCCACAGCAGAACCAGCACCTCCAGCCACTGGCAGGAGGGAGATGGTCCCTACCTTGGTGAGATCTGGCCCGATGGAGGGGGCAGGACCCCCCAACCAGGGAGCTCCTAGTGTGCTCAGGGCCACTCTGACCCCTGTCTTGGCAGAGGGACTGAATCCTTACTGTGTAGGGTTAGGTTGACTTCATCAAGGAAGAGTTCAAGGCCCGTACTGGAGAGATTGGCTCTCTAAGTCTTGACGCTGTGGCTGGGGTCTGGGGTCTGAGGAAGGACAGCCAGACAGGAAGTTGAGTGGCTGACACCCAGTCCCCGTCCCTGAGGTGAGATAGGCCTGCTCACTGCTGATGGCCAGCATGGACCCCATTTCTCCCCCACCCTGTCTTTTGCTGAGATACCATCTGGCTGCACATTTGGTTCCAAGGCCAGTGGACAACAGGCTGTATGAGTCCTTGAAGGCATCAGACTCTGTGGTTCTGGCTCCAAGAGGTGGTTGAGGAGCTTGAAGATGGGAAGAAGCCAGAGGAGGACCCAGGTAGGTGGCTCCAGGGATGGAAGGGTTCACTATGGGGGTGAATCCATAGGTACCGAGTCGCCTTCCTGTCCCGTGGGCACCTGTCCTGGAGCAGTTCTTGTGCACACTGGCTGGACGGCAGCATGGGGTTGAGGCAGCTTCAGACTGTGTGGTCCAAGAGTCTCCTCGAAGCCTGACTTCCCCAGGTCCTCCTCAGTCCCAGGTCCTCCATTAGAAGGAAGGGGGGCAATAGAGAGGGGAAATTGAGATCAGACAAATCCATCTGTGCATCTCTGTTCCAACACCTTCTACGTGTATGACCTTGGGCACATCCTGTAGCCTTGCTGAGCCTCCGGTGGTTCATCTGTGAACTGGTGGTGGTTCCCATCCTCTGCTTCCCTTTCACACATGATTCTTTTAAGGACCAATGGAACGAATGCACGTAAAGCATTGAGCTAACTGAATGACGTAGTCCAGTGGGCCATTCTTCATCACCATCATCGCCGTCAGCAGTATTGGTCACTTCTGAGCCTGGATGAAACTCACAAAGCAGACAAGCTGCAAACGGCTAGAGTGGATACAGGCTCTGGGCAGCTTGGGAGGACCACAGAGCAGAGTAAGGATAGATGAAGGAGGCTGAGGGTGACTGAGCACAAATTTAGTAGGCTGAACCCTCAGCTGGGAGGCAGGTTAATAGATGGAAACCATGCTGAGGGTCGAAGGAGGAGAGACCCCCAGACCTGGCTCAGCCCATTCAACCCTACCTTCCCTTGCAGAATTTAAGTCCAGGGGAGAAAACCAGCTGGAATCCTGCCAGGCCAGACCAGAGCACCCTTCTAGAATGTGCCAAGAGCAGAGCTTGGGAAATGAAGGGATAGGTAGAAACAAGCAGAAAATTCTCTGCTGTTAATCAGGAGGAACTTTCTGAAGGAGGAAGCTGACTGTGAAATTCAGGGGGGTCATGGCACACCAGGAATCAGTGGGTAGATAGGTTAAAAGCTGTGTTTCTTGGAGACCTTAAGCACCACTGCCAAGGAACAAACTGGCTCAGGCTTTCTGTTGGGCAGCCTGGCCATATGTGTCAGCATTTTCAGTGTGTATACCCACTGGCCCAGCAATTTCATTTTTAGGGATTTACCCTACAAAAAAGCAAATTGGACAGGTGTGTGGATAAAATGAGAGTTCCTGTGGCTAGGATCCTCACCTGAACCTGGTTGACTAGCTTACTGCACACCTGTGGGCAGTACATGGCTGTTGACTCTATAGAAAGAGCTCGGCCCAGTGCTCTGGGCACGACACGGTGGCAGGGCTGCAAGGTTGCGGGAGAGCAGAGCAGAGGCTGGAGTGGTGGCAGCATCGAGGACAGAGACCCAGAGGATGGCTGTGTGGGAGGACTGTGCAGAGAGGCCCGAAGGACAGCTGTGTGGACAGACGGGCCCAGAGGCAGAAACCAGCTTGCTGCATGCAGACTCGCTTTGAGTGAACGGGATTCTAGTGACTGACCTGCCACCTGGAAGTAAAGTTGGGTATGACCTTTCACCCCAAGAACGTTTTGCTGTCATTTTCTTTGGTCACACTGAATCCATAGTGAACTTGCCTGGGGCTGAAACCCATTGGCAAGACAGGTGCATGAGATGTTAATCACCTTGTTCATTCATTCACTCAGCAAATATTTATTGAGCGCAGCACCTATGTGTCCCAAGTACTGGCCTAGGTGCTGGAGATATATAATAAGCAAAACAGACACTGTGGATAAAATGGAAGTTCCTGTGGCCAGGATTCTCACCTGGCCCTTGTTGGCTGGCTCACTGCACAGGTGTGGGCAATACATTGTTATTGACTCTATATGAATTGCTGTGCCCAGTGCTCTGGGTGACATGGTGGCATGGCTGCAAGGCTGCAGGAGAGCAGAGGACAGAGGCCCAGAGGACGGCTGTGGGGGCAGAGAGGCCCAGAGGCAGAGACCAGCTTGCTGCGTGCAGACTTGCTCTGAGTGGACGAGTCTAGTGACTGACCTGCCACCGTGGAAATAAAGTTGGGTATAAACCTTTCACCCCAAGAACGTTCTACTGTCATTTCTTTGGTCACATTAAATCCGCAGTGAACTTGCCCTGGGCTGAAACCCAGTGGTAAGACAGACACCGTTACTGTCTTCCTTCTGGAGGGGACAACAAACAAAGACGGTACATGCTATGCCAAGTGATCATAAATGCTATAAAGAAAACAAATCAGGGTAAAAGGATAAAGGTGGGAAAGGTGCTATTTTTATATGGTGGTTGTTAACCATATTATAACCATATAATAATAAGAAAATGAGAATAATCAAAATGCCCAACAATAGTAGCTTAATAGGAAGTAGCTAAATAAATTACTGATTATCCTTATAATGGAATACTAAGTCCTTAAAAAAAGATTATATAGGTGTATATGCATTAGCGTGGAAAGCTAGTCAAGATGTAATAAGCAGAAAAAGCAGATAATAAAACAGTGTATTCCATTATGTGGAAGAATATGTGTGTGTGTGTGTGTGTGTGTGTGTGTGTGTGTGTCAAAGTCTGGAAGGACATAGGGAAAATCTTTAGAGAAGTTACGTTGTCTGATTCAGGGTACTTTTTTACTTTATTCTTTTAAGTTCTGTAACATCTGAATCTTTAAAAACTAACATGTACTGATTTTGTGATTTAGATAATAGAGCAATTTCCATTTTGAAACCAAGTAGGGTTTCCGCCGCCTCAGTCCCTCTGCTCTGGGGCCACACAGGGAGCAGTGACCTCCAGCAAGGACCCCTACAGAACAGGAGGCTCTCCAGGGTTGGGGGGCCCGAGGTCCGGCACACGCAGGGACAGAGGAGGGGACTCGGGCACAGTGGGGAGCCGCAGCCTAGGACCAGGGCCTGGGAAGGCAGAGGAGGCTGGGACTGGAGGCTGGAGAGCCAGTGACATGCCCCCCTGGGAGGGGGTCCTTGGAACTCATAGGAGTGGGCCTGTGAGCACCGCCTTCAGGAAACATCACCCTCTTCGTGGTGTTTCTGCAGCCCGTCACCTGCGTGCCACCTTTCTACCTTTTGGCATCTTCATTTTCCACCATCTTCACCTTACACCAGTAATAATTCCTACTTAATGTTTCTCTTCACATCCTAACAATACTTTAAAATTAATTGCATTTAATAAGGACTTGTTAGCTTGCTATCTTTAGTGGGAAACTAGAATCATGCATTATATATAGAAGATAACCCTGAAAGTAAAATCGATAAAAACCAGTGTTGGTAAACTCTTGCCAAATATTTCTGCCTGAAGGCTCTGAGCCTGAAGCTGTACTCCACTTCGATTCTGTTTCTCTGTCTCTCTTTCGCTCTTTTTCTTTTACTTTGTTAAAAGAAAAAAAAAAAGGAGGGATTTGTAAGTGTTCAAGAGATGTTAAAGATCTCTTAACTGCAATGTAAGGCTTTCTCCTTGCAATTGGGAGGATGAAAGAAAATTGAAGGGGAGCAGCTGTCTTGCAGGGTACGTCCTACAGTCACCACACATAGTTCAAGTCCAACACTGCTCCAGACAGAGAAGCAGTGTGGGGTGATGTGATGAGCACTGGGTGGGCTGCCGAAGACCCAGGCTCTACCCTGAGCTCTGTGGGAACTTGGGCAAGTCATTGCCACAGTCAGAGAGGGCTGCCCTTCTGCAGAGAGGGATTGACCTGGACGATCGGGAAGACCACTCCCACCTCTGCCTTGTAGCACCAGAAAGGGAAGTCACAGGCCCCGGTGGCCTGTCTGGGGGAGGTCTGCCTCCTTCACCTTCTAGAAGGAAGTGCATTGAACTCAACAAATCTGGTTTGTCTGCCAAGTGTGTGCAGGCCTGTTCCCCGGGCTCAGGTGACTCCCCATCGGCCAGCCCAGAGCAGGGGCCCAGTGGTGGGGTGGAGCTGTGAGCCAGGCTAGCCACTAGCTTTTCTGCCTGGTGCAGTTGGGCAAAGCTTCAGGGAGGAGCAGCCACTTCAAATGAGCTGGACTTTGAAGGATGCGCAGCTGAGAAAGAGGGAGCAGCATTCTGGGCCGAGGGAGAAAAATGTTCAAGACCAGGGGTTGTGTCTAGAGACATGCAAATTACTGGGAGTGCCTGGAGGTGGGGCCCATGCAGCTGGGGCTGAGTGTTCCCCAGCCACACCTGGAAGTTGATTTGTATCGGATCACTAGAGCCAATTGCTATATTCTCAGGAATTTTGAGAGCCAGGTGTCAACACAGTCATTATGGGGGAAGTCATGATGGCAGTGCTGACACCGCAGAAATCAACAGACACTAACCGTCAGATTTTTGTTGTTGTTTTCCAAGGAGTTCATTTATCAGCACCCCACCGAAATTCTCTCCCATCAGGGCTTCATGCTCCCTGGAATGGCTGGGGCAGAAAAGGCAATTCCCTTTCTGTAAAGCTGTACACGCTGGCAAGGCCTAGGAGGCCCCTGAGATGCGCCTGCTGCATCCGCTCCCAGAGGCCCCCGGCTCTCCTGTCCAGTCCACGCTGGTCTTTGAGATGTCCTCTGAGAACCACCAAATCAGCAACATCAGGGCCAGGGGCTCCAGGTGGACGCGATGGAGAACCCCTGCCCAACCCAGAGGGAGGGACGGCTCTGCCTGTGGGAGGCTTGCTGTGACCCTTAGAACCCATTCCTCAGCTCCCCAGGGCCTGACTTCCAGGTATCCGGATAGTGGGACCAAAGCGCCCCCCTGGCAGGCTGGCTGGGTCCTGCATTCTAACATTCAGGGCTCAGAGCACTGGAGTCAGAGCCACTTAGACCTGGGTTGTGAGCCCAGAAGATGACAGCCTGCCTATGATGGGGGTCCTGTAGTCCAGCTGTTCCCCCACCCACCCAGCCCTCTCTTTCCTCTAACCCCTCCAGCGTGCAGTGCCGCATCGATGGCCCGCATGGAACCCTCACCCACAGGATCTTTGCCTCGGAGCATGCCGTGTGCACTGGGGCAGGCTTCAGCGTCACCCCCTTGATTCCATCCTGCGGAGCATCAGGTGGGGGCGGGCAGCCTGCCGGGGCAGAGTTCGCCCTGCCCTCTCCGCTCCTCCTTTCTCCCTCCCTCCTTTCCTTTCACTGGGCTCCCTCTTCCCTATTCTCTCCTCCCTCGCCTTCTCCTCCTCCTCCTTCCCTCTTTTTTTCATCTCTCATCCCTCCCCTTCCTCATAGGTGGGTCCTGTCAGCCCATCCTTCCTCCCTGTCCCCGCACAGTTCTCTGGGGACCTGAGAAGTCTCATACTCCCTCCCAGTTCAAACCCCTCATCCTGTGTCCCCTCAGGCACCAGAAAACAAAGCACATTTGCCCCAGATGCCAGCACAGCCGGGTGGAGGGTGTCCAGGACAAAGACATGAAGCGCCACCAGGTGAGATCACCTCTTGCAGGCAGGCCTCCGGCCCTGTCCCTGGGACACCTCCAGGAATAGGAGCCAGGCGCTGCTGTGCAGAGGCAGTGGAGGGGCAGACGACCTCCCTGCTGCTCCGATCCCTAGTCCCTCTGCTTCCCCCAGGGCCTGTGTTCTTCTGGTGCCACCCAGTGGCCAGACCTCCCCCATCACCTCTGAGAGACGTCTGGGCCCTGAAGATGCATCTCATTGAAAACCTCAGCGCCTCAAAGCCAGGCAGCTGGGATTCACTTAGAGCCACGATGCTTCCTAGTCATCACGTGGTAGTGGTGTTGAAAATGAAAACATGTTTGTTTTTTAAAAATTCGTCATTCTGTATAGGCCACTTGACAGAGCGTCTAAATAAATAATTAATGTTTTTCTGGCTGTCCTAAGTTTAAGAGCTCAGAACACTGCTGGCTGTAATGTAGATCACTAGAGAAAATTCTGGCCCGGCAGTTAGGAACCTGGGTTCCGGTCGCTGCTGCTCTGTGACCTGGGCAAGGTTCCTCACTTCTGTGAGCCTCGGTTTCCCCCGTGTTAAATGGGGGTGATGATGTGTGTCCTGCTAACATCACAGGGTGGCCATATGGGCCCTTGCGATCGTAGATATGAATGAGCATACTGTGGATGAGGTAGGTCCTGCCTCTGAACCGAAGGGTCCCTTCTTCTTAGGTGGACTTCATCTGGATCAACTGAGACTTGCGGTCTTTCTAGTAGTTTCTGAGCCTCCTGACCGAACTGGAGGTGGAGCAGGCCGAGGAGACCCAGGGGATAGGATGGGGCCGGGGGAGGATGGGAGTGGGGCAGGGCGTTCAGGGTCTTTTTAAAGAGGGGTTTAGATTGTTCCATTTCTCTCAGAAATGTAGGGAAGAGGGAGTCACTTCCTCCCACTCCCCCACTAAACTGTTTTGTGAAACTTGAAAAGTAGAGAAGAAAAAAAATCATTCATAATCCCACCCGGTTATCCAGATTATTCCAGACGTTTTGAAGGATTTCCTTCTGGCATTTTTTTTCTTATTTGTTTTATAAAAATGTCTCTCCTTCTTTTCTCTAATTTCTCTTTTTTATAATATTTCTTTTAGTTCAGACTCAGAACTTGTTAAAAATTTAGTTTCCCAGGCCTCATCCCCAGACCTTCCAGATTTTAACTTCTCAGGAGATTCTTTGTCTCACTTTTTTTTCCAGGTTTTTTTTTTGAGGGATAATTTCCACAATAAAATTCACCAATTTAAGTGTACAATAAGTACAGTGACATTTTGGCTTTGTCTTCTTAATCTGTGCTTCATTTCAGATGGTTTCTACTGCTGTGTTTTCAAGTCTACTGATCTTCTCTTCTGCATTGATGAACAATGGGGTGTGGCGGGGACTTGATAATATGGGTGAATGTTGAAACCACAGTTTGCTCATGTGAAATCTTCATAAGATTGTATATCAATGATACCTTAATTTAAAAAACAAAAACAAAAAGCAGTGCTTTGAATGTGCTCCTCCAGCCATGGCAGTCCCCCCTCCCCTACAAAGCCCATCCTACACTTAGGAAGCCAATGCTTAATACGTGTGTAAGATGTTTTTCTGGGTTACATCAAAGTCCTAGTGGGACATCTTTGTGGAATACTGTGTTTTAAAGTTAATCTGTTGGAATCATTGTTTTGTTTTACTTAAGAAATAATTTATACAAGGGGGAATATATTTAGATATGTTTCTAATTTAAAGAGAATTGGTATGTTTTTTTGTACTGGTTGGGTTCATTGGAACTAGAGCTTTTTTGGCTATTTAATTTTAACAAGGTTGCCATGAGATTTGCCTTACCCAAGGTCAGGAGTATTTTCTATTATGCTTCAAAAATTCAAATTCCTATGATAAACAGTTTCTAAGTTCAAGTAATCAAACAGTTTTCTGCAAGAAACAGTCAAACAGAAGTAGTTTACTATAACAAACATTCAAAGCCATAAAGCACAAGTCAACAGTCTTTGGAAGAGAATTTGTAAACCTTAGAATGTTGCAGTAAAGCTCTTTGACCTTTCTTTTAAATAACAGTTGGGGCAAATATTTATATAGCATTGGCTTTGTTCTAAGTGCTTTTACATAGATTAATTCATTAGGAACTTGATTTTATGATGAGCTAGGGGACAAATTTAGGTTTAATTTAAATTTCTAGTTACTGGTTTATAAATATTTGCTATTTGCTTCTTCCTAATCTGTGTCAACAAAGGGTTAACAGCTCATCCAGCGCTTTACATTCTCAAAGCCACTTGAGTCAACAGCTTTATTACTTCAAATTTCATCCAAGGTTTCACATTAACTGCAGCTGAAACGTGTGGCCTCTGATTTCAACTTTAGTTATATACCAAGGTCCGAGTTCAAGAATTTGTGGTTTGATTTCCATTGTTTAAGCTTTAATCATTCTGTTTGAGTTTGAATCTTTACTCTATCCCATAACAGCTGCAGAACCTTGGGCACATTATTCAACTGCTTTGCTTCAATTTCCTCGTCTGAAAAATATGGATACATCTGGTACCTACTTCACAGGGCTGTGGTGAAGATTCAATGAGGTATCACTGCAGCACTTAGAAAGGTGACTGCCCAGTAGGTTTGCTTGGATCTACAAATATACAATGTATATACAAGTATAAAATGGATACATAGGAGTAAGAGTAATATTCACTGGTCAATAAATTCAATAGTAGTAGCAGTGGAAGTAGTAGTAGTAGTATTTAGTGGCTGCATAATGAATGATTCACAGAATGGTTTGCCATAAATTATTTAACTAAGCCCCCACTACAGGATGTGTAGTTTATTCCTAATTCTCCACTATCTTAAATAAAGCTGCAATTAATATGTATGTGCACATAGTTTTTTTCCTTCCTTTGGGCGATTTCCTTAAGAGAATGTCCCAGAAATAGGATGCTTGTCTCCAATGCAACATTTTTGGAGGGGGGAGGAAAACCATGTGGGATCATTCCCGCAGCTCCACTGTCTTCTCCCTCCCACCATGGAGTCTCCTCCTGTCTTCTCTTACCCCTCCTGGGGTATGGCGACTGAGAGGAGGAGGATGTGCCAGGGCTCTCTCAGGCGGGCATTCCTTATAGTACATCTTCCTCCCTCCTAAACCACTCAGCATTACTCAACTCAAATGATACGTAAAGGCAAGTCTGGTATCCCTCCTAGGGCCATTTGCACGTCCGCAGTGGCTGAGACTTTCAGCCAAAGGATAAGTGGGCTAATGGGTGGCGTATGAAACCATAGAGGGCAAGTCCTTTAGGATAGGGAGAGAAGAAGGCTAAGGGGACCACCAGTTCATGAATCCAGCATCCTAGCTAAGGCCCCGCCACCTCCGGCTTGGCCTGATGCTCAGGTGTAAGGCAGCACTTGCCAGTCTTTCCCGAGCATGGCACCCATGGAAAATGATAACAACTGTATGCCATGTCTGGGAAGATGGAGGAGGCTGCTTGAGCACAGAGGAGACCCCCTGGGACTTCAGTTGCCTTGAGATCCAAAGGAATCTGCATCTCAGCAAACATGTCCCACTGTCCCTTTGCAGAAACAGAACTGTGGATGCTGGCCAGTAGCATGGTGAGCCCAGGATGCTGTGCCTGCAGCCAGGCACATGCAGGCTGGTCTCTGCCCTGTCCCTGCAGTCCTCTGGCAGATGAGAGTCTGCTCAGCATAGGACTTCACATACACATCCACACATGCATGCACACGCACACACACATGCACATTGCTCATTACCCACTTGCTGTTTTCATCTTGTCAGGCCCTGCCCCCATTTCCTTGCTGGTCACTCACCACCCTTCGCAGTCCAGGCCCATCTCCTCGTGCTTCTGCTCAAGGACCCTCTGCTCCAGCCACGCAGTCACATCAAGCCCACAAACACCACATTTGTTGCAGCCTCTTGTCCTGGGCTCACGCTCTTCTGCCTTCTCAGGAGGTCTCCCTTTCGCCTCCCCTCTTCCAAGCCCTAGTCCAGTGCCCCCTCCCAGGAACAGCACCTCCTACTCCAGCCCTTCCCTGTATAACAGTGGCATTTGCCATCTGATCCACTCACTGAAACCATGACCCTGTGGTCTAAGCTACCTTTTGATGTGTACATGGCTTATGTCCCCAACCAGACTGAGCAGAAACCTTGAGGCAAGGCGGGCACAAGCCTTAGAGCTAGGCAGTGCTGGGATTCATTTCCTCCTCTGTACATGCAAGGTCTAACTCGTGGGCACTTGCAAGGCTCACGTTAGACGGTGGATACATAGTAACTCTTGAACACAGTGCGGGGAGTGGCCCAGCCCAAGCAGTAGGCCGTCTTTCCTCTCCACAGCCCTGCACATGGAGGTCCTGGGAAAACACCGTGGGCTGAAGGTGTGAATTCTGTAAGATAAATTCTAGCCGGAATAAGCAGGCAAAGAGAGGCAACAAAGGGCCTGGTAATTTATTTAAATACCCGCGGGTGAGGTTCTGTGGCCTTCCTGTCACAGGCCAGAGAAGTCACGCCCGGTTAGGGAGGTGGGGGGCTTATAAGGGATTAGAAGGGGGAGGAGTGGGCAAGCTATCTTAGGGGGGTGTGGAGAGGTATGATTGGCTAAAGGGGACATAATAGTCAACTAGAAACTTTTTTCTTTCCAAGAGGGAGGAGGCTGACATCCGGGTCCCAGTTGGCACATCAGGATGGAATTCAGGGAGAGCTGCCCCCTTTCTATATACGGCACGGACTTTGGGGTCTGGTCTGTTCTCCCCCTATGGCATCTCTCTGTTCTGTTTGCATGTCCTTGTTTTTCCTTCCTCCAGCCTAACACCATCCAAGCTCCAGGGCTCTGTCCCCATCACAGGTGCCAGCCCCTCAGTGCCACCCTCTCCTCTCACCACACAGGTGGCTTCCTGGAGCTACATATGTACATGACCTCCGCACTGGGCAGGAATGACATGAAGGCCAACCTCCTGGCCAGGAAGGAAAGGAAAGACTCCATCCCAGGCCTCCAGACACACACCCAGCCTGGGTGGCCTGACGGGAGCCTGCAGGGGCCAGTGGAGCTGACACCCTGGGGAAGTGGCCAGGGAGGTTAGGGCCAAACAGCTGGGGCAAAGCATGAGGCCGGCATCCAGAGTATAGCCAGGATCTCAGGGCTGGAATGGGCGGCAGGAGACCCATGTTCCAGCTCCATCACTAGCTCACTTGGTTCCATGATTAGCCCGTTTCCCTAGCTGTTCAGAGGGGAAAGTGAGTCCACATGACCTCCAAGACCTCTCCCAGCCCTGACTGCTCTGAACCAGGGTCAGAAGGCCTGAGTGGACGGAGTCCTGGGGAAGCATCAAGTCTTGTCCCATCCGCGTACAAATGGAGAAACCGAGGCTCAGTGACATGAAAGAGTTTGCAGTCTATTTTATCTACCAGATTGGTTTTATTACTATTTTTTCTTTCCTGAGCACCTACCAGTCAGGGTGTAGAGCTTGCATGGCATGACCAGAGGCCCTGCTTTTCAAATTGCTGTAGATGATCGACATGGAGGCAGAGCTGTGGGGACGGGATGCTGGCCGTGCTCAGGCACCGAAGAGGACTGTCAGCAGAGGCAATTCTTAGGCAGAATTTGGAGTGGAAAAGAGTCCTCAGTGAGGGCAAGACGCCTGACTTCAGGAAAGAGGTATTTCAGTGGAGGACCAGCATGAGGTTTGGGCAGCCGGGGTTCAGCACAGCAGACAGGCCTCCGTTGTGCCCTCCAGCACTGCAGCCGGTTCAGTACGTGCCTCCCCACAGATGCAGCCCCTTGAGCAGAGGGGCTGAGTCAGGTCAGGGGGTGAGCAAATGGCCCCTGTTGGACTCTCTACCCTGAAGCCAAACAGCTGTGCCTTGGAGTTTGTCATGGGGACAGACGGACAGCCATTGCTGCCCACGCATTATGTTGTCAGCTCCAGGGGCTGTGTCACTGGGCGGGTCCACAGTCCCCCCTCTCCCTCTGCTCTCCCCCAACACTGTGGACCCCAGGCATTCCAGGAAGTGACCACAGAGAAGAAGGGCAAGGCACAGGTTTTCTTCTGTGGCTCCCCAGCTCTGGCCAAGGTGCTCAAGGGCCATTGTGAGCACTTCAGCTTCAAAATTTTTCAAGAGAACTTCTGTCCCCACCTCTCCAAGCTCTTCCCAGACCCATATCGCCAGCCAGCTTGAATGCATTGCTACCAGTGCACCCCAGGGACCAGCCTCAGATGACCACCCAGGCCTGCTGCACACACACAGCAGCAGGTCCTGGTGCAGGTGGGCTCTGCCAGACCCAGGTGCCGCTCTGCATTCTGGGCTTGCTGTGGGGTTGGTCATGACCCAGCTGGCTGGTGGGGAAGGGGGTGCAGGGGGGGTCTCCAGGGCACCCCCCCTTCCAAAAGTCCTCTGAAGGAGCCTTCTGTGCACAGTAGTGGTCCCAGACCTGCCTGGTCATTACAATCATTCAGGAACGCCCCCCAACCCCCACCCCATCAACATTTTATTATGAAAAATTTCCAATATACAGAAAGTTAAAAGAATGGCCAGTGAACAGTGTCAGCCACTTTCTAGGTTCCTCAGTTAACATTTTGCTGTATTTGCTTTATTGCGTATTATCAATCTATCCCTCCCTCTATCTGCCCATCAATGGCTTATTTTTTTGAGGCATTTCAAAACACACTTTGCACTCAGAGGAATTTTGTTTAAATGCAGATTCCTGGGTCTCATTCCCAGAAATTCTGATTCTGAAGATCTGGGGATGAGAAATGGAATGTGTATTTTATCCCCAATCCATTCCTATAGGGAGAGATACTTAGCACACTTTCCCCCTTCTCTCCATGCCATCGTCTTCCCCTCTCTTTATCTGTGTTCCTCTGCCTTGCTCTCTCTCTCACATGATCTCTCTCCCTTGCATGCTGGTCTCTCCCTTCTCTCTAGGCACCAAGGATGGAGGCAGCTCCCTCTGTGGGGTCACACAAAGGCTGCGTGCCTGGGAATCAGGCAGGTTATTACGTGGAGCTCAGTTCAGCCATGCCCCAGCCGTGTGACCCCGGTAACCTCTGTGAATCGATTTTTACACCTGAAAAATGGGAGTGATGACATTCCCCGGTCACAGCTGTCATGAGAGTGCAATGCGACATCACGATCCATGCCCAGGACGTGTGTGGTCCCTCTCTGTGAGGCTCTTTACTACTGAAGACGTCTGTGTCTCTGCATCCCCTCTCTATGTCATGGCTCTCTCTGTCTCTGTGGTCTAGCCTCTATTTGCATCTGTCCCTGTCTGGGTGCGAGTAGATAGATGGCAGAGACAGCAAACGAAGAAGCTCTCCTAGGAGACTCTTTGGGGAGAGAGGCCCTGGGCTGGGGGCAGGGGTGGGGTGCTGGCCTCACCTTCCTTGGATCTGAGCTGGGTGTTTTCCATGTGCCCCACACTGCAAGCACCTGTGAGCCCCACTGTTTCTGGGCATTCTCCACCTTGCGGTGCCCTTGCTAAGTTCTCTCTTCTCTGTGACAATGGAAATCACCCCTCCGCAAGGCTGCCTTCAGGGGGTTGGAATCAGGTGCTTTTCACTGGGGTTGTAGATAACCTTTCTCTTCTGTGGGCAAAGAAGCTGGGTTGATGACACCCCTTGTAAAGTGTTGGGCATTTCTAAGTGGGGAGCTGGGGTGCAGCAGATGAGGGCGGTGAGCGTAGAGTGAAGGGGGCGGATGGAAGCACCCTGTGGTTGGTGGGGAACAAAATGGGTGGGAAAATTTCTCTGCAAAAAGCAACCAGCGGAGTAAGTGCTGGTGGGTAAAGTTGAAGTGCTCTGTGCAGGAGGTGGCAGACTACATCCAGAGGGCAGGAGCAGGGGGAGTGGGCCCCAGCTGTCAGCCCACAGGAAGGAAGGATGGAGGGCGTTCGGTGGGGGGGCGGGGGGCAAAGGGAGGGGAGCTGGGCCGCACGGAGCCTCCCCCGGGTTGGGAGCCAGCATATCTGGGAGACCTTGCGCTGGGACCTTCTGCCCTTGACTGTGTTTACTTTCCAGAGAGCCTGGGGTAGGCATGCAACTCCCATGGAGAAGCTCAGACCTAGAGAAGTTACCGGCCCGAGGGCACAGTCCGGGAATCCTGCTGATTCTGTTTTCCCCCCTTCCTCAGACGCGGGAAGGCTTAGAAAGAAAACCGTCACTACCTGGAATGTAGAAGGAAGCGCAGAGGGGTCCTGACTTACTGCTGGGGTGTGGAAACAGAATGTACCAAGATCATTTGGAAAGTTGGCAGGTAAGAGTCTACTCAGCATAGGACTGAGCACAAGCACACGCTCACATGCACACGCGCACGTGCACATGCAAACATGCACGCTCACACATGCACATCAGTCACCATTTTACATTGCGTCCCAGTGTCCAAACTGCCCTAAAACACCAGAGCCCCCGTCCTCAATCCTTTGCTGTCTCCTAACAGATTCCCACCAGTCTCCTGCTCCTACATACAAACAGCCAACTGTTCATTGAGAACTTTATATTACGCAGGGGCTAGAATACAGATTATAAAATCCACTAAGGGCTTGCACGTTAGATTTACTACCACGTGTGTCCTAAGGCTTTCTCTCCAGACATATTCCAGTTACCCACTGGAGGGCGCTGCAGAATTAGGGATCTTGGGAGGTTTTGTTTGGTGGGAAGGAGACTGGTTCTTGAGTGGCAGTGAATCAAGGACTGTGGAGACCGCACCCACTCCACAGCTCCTGGCTCCAGGCAACACCTCCAGACCCAGGCTGGGACAGGACTGTGAAGTCAAGAGAGCTTGTTTTCAAGATCAGAGTTTCTCTAGCTACCAGCCGGTGACCCCAACACACAAATGACCCCACAGAACACCCCCCACACCACAACTTTCCCTTCCCAGTACCCAATGTCCAGGCTCTGGGCTTCCCTCTTTTCTACCTGTAAGGTCAGGTTCTATAATCCTGAGACACCATATTGTTGTATGCGGAAGGATCAAATTTGTGGGTATAAAGAATACTTGGTCTGTCCATCTAGATGTTTCCTGGATATCCAGATGTTGGGTGAGGTTGGGGGGGAGCAGTCACCCTGCCATCAGCGAGAAATAAATGCATCCGTACAGCTGGCTGACTTTTCTCCCTGACCCAGATACTGGCAATGCTGCAGACACATGTGGGCCCAAGGTTGCTAAGTCTGACACACAGAGAAAAGAGAGGAACACAGGTTAACTGCAGATAAAAATGGATTTTATGGGGTGTGTGCTGGCCTCTGTCAAGCTCCTCTGAGCTCAGCCTGTGGCCCCAGAATCTGGAACAGAGGGAGGGGTAATAGGCCTAACCTGGAGGTCAGTTCCCATCAGGTCAAGGAGCTACTTGGATGGAATTCTCCTGGGGAAGGGTTTTCTGCATATAACTCACTTGGAATCTGGTTAACAGAAGCGCAAACACAAGCCCACTGAATGCCTAGCTTTGCCACCCTGCTCCGACAGATTCAGCAGGCATTTAGGGAAACAAGTGATTAAATGGGCCGGCCCCTGAGCCCCCCAAGTGCAGTCTATTAAAATGCTGAGAGCAACGGGCATGTGTGGGAGGGGAGGGTGACAAGGGCAATATCAAAAAGTGTCACCAGCCTTGCAGACAAGGTCAAGGTTACCCATGCCAGTTGAGACTGGCTCCAGGCAAACACTTTGGAGCTGGGTGGGGGAGGAAAGGCCTCTGACCCTGAGGTCAGGGCTCTGCACGTGCCTCCGCCCCAGGCAGCGGCCTGACCTTGGATGCACCCCTAGCCCCTGGGGCCTCTGTGAGCTCTTGCGTCCTCATCTGTAAAATGAACAGTTTAAGGCTGTATGTGTTTAAATGCTAATCTATGCATAATCATCTCCTAAAAGATGCACACAGATATATTTTTTTATCCATTTGCTCTAGGGAGTGGGAATGAGGGACCGGGAGAAAAGGATTTTGTTTTTTGTTCCTTGGGGTATTTTTACTTTTTATTTTATATTACTTTATAAAGTTTGAAGTTTTTATGATAAACACATTGGTTTTAGAGTTTTATTTAAAGAAAAAAAAACCAACAAACACAACCCCCCCTCCAAATAGAATGTAACGTAAAAGAAAAAAAAACCCAAGTACCAAGTTTTGATATGATTCTACTCCTGTGACCAAAAATAAACAGTGTATGTGGAAGGGGCAGGGGCCAAATAGGTAGAAATGCACTAGAAAAGTTAGAAGGTGACTCTCCGAACAGTTCACAGGGTCAACTTGGGAGGAGGGAGGACTCCAAAATTTTTCTCTTTTCTGGCTCAGGTATTTATGTATTACGTATGTAATGTTTCACAGTATATAATTTTTATACCATGTGCTTCATGTATTACTTGTGTGATGTTTTGCTTTTTTATCTGTGTGTTTATATTATGGTCTGTGTGATTTTTTTTTTTTTTAAGAACAAACGAAATGGAGAGATTGTCTGAGGTGTCACCTAGGAGCCCTGATAAGGATTTGTTTTCCAATGAGTGTTTGGGACACAGCTGGGATGGTGGGGCTGGCCTGCCCAGCTGGGGCCACTCCCTGGCCTCTTCTGAAAAGTGAGGCGGCCAAGGTGCCCATAGTCAACATGCAAAGCTATATGCCCGAAGTGATCTACGTAGTAAAACAAAAGCCCCTTCCAGACTTGAAGGTGGTTCAGGAAGACTGCAGAGGCCACGGGCGTTCGGGTGAAACTGCGTGCACACACCAGCTCGGAGGTCCAGTCCAGACGCCTTGGGGCACGTTGTCTCTGCTACACAAAAACTCGCGTGAACCGGTCTTCCTGACAGATTGATGCATCTTTATACAATCTGTCTTTACAGTATTAAGACTCTCTCCTTTTAAAAATAAGATTAATTCAGACAAGGCATTTATTTTATGGGGAAATCCATCCCCGGGGGCAAAATACTCAAACTGAATGGCCAGGGATGTTTAGAAGGAGACTTGACTCTCCATTCCAGCCTGCAGACCTTAGCCGCAGTGGTCCCCAACGGGCTGCCCTGATCCTGTCCGCGGATGAACGGAGCTATCCTGAATCACCCCACTTGTGTGAGGACAGCCTGCTGGGAAAAACAAAATGAGGAAAAGTAGTAGTGAGTTTTGGCATGGCAGGGGAGAAGAGGGTGCATCTTTTGGGGAAAGAAAGAAGTTCTGAGAGTCACCCAGATTTGGCTGGATGTAA